GGAGCCCGATGTGGGACTCGATCCCGGGACTCCAGGATCATGACCTGAGCCGAAGGCAGTCGCTTAACCAACTGAGCCACCCAGGCGCCCTCAGTACTAGCATCCTGATCGTACTTGTTCTCTAGCGTCAGCATATGTCAAACCAAAGCACAAAACAGGATGACAGATGGAAAGGGATTGGGGAACTGCATTTTCATAGATTCAGAGGATTTTAGCCGTTGGAAGAGGCTTTGAAAGCTTCTGCTTTTATATAAGATAAAAAAGACTACGTTGGATGGAAATGTCTCCAACGATTGGCAAAAATTTATCCTGAAAATAAACTAAAACAAATCTAAAGAGCACCAATCAGGCAAGTGTGCTATCACGGTCATTCCTACCATGTTCCGGATACAAGGGGTGGTGGGAAAATGAAGGGCAGTGTCCCGAAGTAGAAAAAGCACAGGCATTAAAGACAGACAGGCCTGACCCACCTCTCAGTTCTCCCACATACTGGCTGTGTGCTCCGTGTGAGATGCCTGTCCTCACCAGACTCCATTTCCTTAAGAATTAATGAGATAATGATGCCCCACCAGGTGCCCAACAACCAACCGGTAGCAATTAAGGTGCCTGGTTACAGGAAGAGGGAGGTGCAGAGTGGTGGAAATGCCATGTGTACACGGAACAGCTTGCCACCCTGCAATCAGCTTCTTCACACCAAAGCTAAGGGGTGAGAGAAGAGCTCATGAATTCCATTTTTTCTAATAACTTCGCTTTTGTCTCCAGCTCTTAGGCATGGTAACTTTGCAGAGTCTAGCCCTCATTTGGCCTGTATCTCCCCATATGGGTCTGTTCTTCAGTGTCCCCAGGAGATGGGCCTCTGGGGACTGGTGGTGGTGAACATGCTGATGGAAACACCATACTCAAGATCGTAAGAACAGATGCTACCAGGTCAACCGACTCAGACTCAAGTGCGTACTCTCCCAGCACCTCACAGTCATTCTGCCTCTTTTGGGCTGATGCTTCAGAATCAGAATAGAGGGTCACACTTAAGGTCCACGTCTCTGGCAACATGCCACAGAATTCAACTGGTAAGGAGGTAAGGCACGAGGTCTTTATCAGAACCATGATCTCAGGATATGACTCTAAGAAGCCAACATAGACAGTTTTTCCTTCAACATGCAAACCACATCCTCACTGTAAATTTCAAATTTGCCCAGGTATTTTTTGACTAGCACAAAACATATCTAAGATACAGTCCACTTACTAAAACTAATGACCAGTGTACTTTCAGTAATGCAGTTTCCTCAATCTCAGCATAGAATATTTCTTTCCTAAGAGTAAGCTGTTAATTGAGACAGGATCCAATGTGATACTGAAATTCTGAGCTGAGTCGATCATTAGCAGGGAATTTTGTGAATTATGATTAGGGTCTTCAAAATTTATTAAGCTTAATTTTATGCTAAATGGGATTTTATACTGAAGAGTCTAAATGCTCTTTAACATTAAGATGAGTTCTTTGTTTGTTGGGAGGATGCCCTATAGGTACACAAGTTCTCAGATGGGACACAACACATAGACGATAAACAATAAAACAGAATAATTGGGAATAACGTTCTTCTTTATTAGCCTCTGATATGAAGAAATAATCCTCAAACTGTCAGGGCTCAGCCGTTCCATGGGCAAAATGGAATAATATAGATTTTTTAAATTCTTCAATCTTCAGATCACAAAGCATCACTGTAACAGGCACGATAAATGACAAACAACGGTGTTTGGCACTGTTCCTTAGAGAGAAAACACCACCTACCGATTTAGAATTTCTAGGCTCCAGCACCAGTGACAGTTTGTAAATATCGTCTTCTGTGTGGTAGAGGTCCAGAGAAAGCTACAACAAATTAGAAGGGATAAAAGATGATGTTGGATCACATTTACTTATTTATTTACATGGCTGAAATATTTTTCAAACTCAATGTGTTAGCTCAATGTCTAATAATTTGAGAGAATGAAGAGCATTAAAAAGATAATATGTAGAGGTGGAACATGAACTTTTAAAAAGAAACAGGGAAACCTAGTATGGCCATCAGCATCCTATGAGTTACATCAGATGTATTTACATCAATAAAAGGCAACACTCAACGAGGTAGGGATTGTTCAGGGGTGGTGTATATAGCAGAGGGAGAGGTTCTGGAGTCCGAACGGCCTGAGTTCAAGAGCTGAGCCTGCCACTGCTTAGCCCTGTCACCCTGAGCCAGTTACATCTTCTCTGATACTCAGTTTCCACATCTGTAAAGTGTAAATTATCATAAAAGTCCCTACTGAATTGCATTTTGATCAGGATCAAATGGAATACTTCATGTGAAGTGCTATACAGGGGCCCTGGTACACAGTGAAATGTCAAGAAAGGTTATTTGGTGTTGCAGCTGTTACTACTGATATTATGTGTGGGGGGTCACTGAGGACAGAAATGATCAAGACGGAATCACAGAGGAATTTGTGAACTAGGACCTAACTGGGAGGACTTGGGCAAAGAAAGAGGGAAAGATCAGGGCAGGAAGGACACCAACTTAGACCAAGATTGAAGAGTATGGATAAAATCAGTAAAACCTAAAACGCATGGTCCCATTCACTTAAAATAGAAGTCATGAGACTACAAATAAGCCTGGATGAGTCCCAACCACACTCTTCAATGTTAAGATACCTGATGAATCACATCATTTCATCAGAAGTGAATGTAACCAGGTGCCCTGTCCTTTCTTTGACCACTTAGGCATAAAATATTTAACATATTTGGTCTAAAAATAACGACTTAATGTGTATGCGTGTGGAGTGAGGGAGAAGAGCGACAAGGAGGAAGTGGGAGAAAACTTAGAGGCAAAGGACATCTTTCAAGGATTTATCTTTTTGTTCTCATTTAAGAAAAAACTGGTATTAAAAGATGTCATTTTTGAATTAATCATCCATTCAGCAAAGATTTATTGATCATCTAATATGTGCTGAGGACCATTCTAGTCACTATTCTATCTACTAAATACATTTAAATCAAGGATTTCATACACTGGGTCATATATTGCTTTACCTAGACTTTGCCACCTAGAGATTTTTTTCTAAACATAATGAAATTCTATTATAAAATTGCCCCAGCATCATTTCAGATCTTGAAAATCCTGCTCACAAAGAATGGACACTGTATCCACCTTCCCCTAAACAGCAGTCACTCCTACCTCCAGGGGCTCCACCTTTTTGCAGGAGAGGAACCATCCCTATATCACAAACCAATGCCTCTAAGGGCCAGCCCATTATATAACAGAATGAAATGGGATGCATGAAAGAAATCTTTTGATAGAAACATTGGTATAACAATGTCTTCTTTGCAAAAAACATCTTTGCAGATGTAATTACCTTGGGGCCCTGCTCTCTGAGCTCAACAATAAAAAAAATTTGTGATAAGTGGAATCTGACATGGATCTCTGGGTTAGGAAAGCAATAGGGAGAGTTGTGGTCCCTGGTGAATGGAAGACAACCACTGCTCAGCCAAGGTAAGTTGTCGTCAGCCTGACAAGCGCCATATCTTCTCTTTTGTCAAAAGAAGCCAGAAATCTGGGAGTTTTATATGAAATATCTCCATTATTAAATACTGGCAACTAATTAAAAAACTTTATGATTCCATGTGGGCCAAATAAAACCCATCTGCCATGGACAGTTGCCCGCCATTTTGTAAAATCCACAATGGAAAACTCTACTGGCTTCTAAGCCTCAAGAAAGCAGGCAGCGCATCCGTCTTTTTTGCCTCTGTAATCCCAGCCAGAGCCTGCTGCCTTGCACTGTGAATGCTACATAAACAGAAAGAAAATCAAGTAACAATTCCTTGTTATCAGGAGTTATTCTAGACTTTGTGAGCGTGTTCCTGTCCTCCTGATTAGGCCTCTAGTGAGTGGCACTGGCATCTGCTGGAGAAGGGATGACAAGCGTGCTAGAACATCTGACCAGAAATCCCAATAACCACATACTATGTAGGGAAGATGCTCTTTCAAAAGACACAGAACATCCTTGAGTATTTTCATACATCACATGGACAGATATCGGGTGCTATGATGGAAATATCTTCTCCAAATGTTTGCTCTCTGTTAGCGCTGTTGTGAACCTGGGAAAGTCATTAACCTTCTTGGGTCTCAGTCTCCCAGTCTATAAAATGGGGCATAAATAATAGGTCCCTCCTTGGACTGCTGTGAAGATTAAATGAGCTAACGTGTAACCAGCAGGGTTTGTTTAGTGGGCCATAAAGATGGGCACTACCGGGTTTGGCTCCCAAATACCACTGCATGCATCAATGAAAGCAAAGCTGCCCCTGGGTTACTCCTGCCAGCTCTTTGCTTTCCCAGCCACAATCTTACCTAGGTGCACTCTCTCATCTCCTCTGGGTTTTATGGCCCTGCGTAGAGTAACCTGTTGTACTTCCTATACACCTCTATTTTATAATTATAGGCAGCTTGTCAATGAAATTTCAGGAATGCTTGCTTGTGTCTCACATATTTTGAGTCTGACTGTTTTTGAAAAATGTCCTGAGTCACTGTTTCAGTTTGCTGCATTTACATCCAAGCCTATCAGCAAAGATGGTTGTGGATTTACTCTGTACATTCAGACCACATTGCCTTGACTGGAGAATTGTAAAATAAAACACACTTGGTCATCAAACTATCGCCATTCACCATTTTTACAATTCTTCTTCTTCTTTTTTTTTTGAAACTGTAAAAATACAGGGGGCTTTCCAGTTATTTGCATATACTCAGAATGGTAAAAGTAACTGATAGATCTAAAAATACTATGAAAAGAATCAGATGATTTCATATACCATGAAGCAAGAAGCATCAGCTTTTAAAACTTCTGGTTCCAGGATTGGGATGGATCACAAGGGAAAATGCCTTCTCTAGATCTTCCCTGAAAAGGGGAACAATCCAAATCCCAACAGTTTAGTGCTGGGGTCCTCCTTCCTTCACGTGCCCAGTGCTATTCAGGGGGTAAGTTTACAATGATAAAAATGACATCAGAGTCCCTGACTCATAGATTTGGTTCTATAATTAACTCCTTCTTTAGATACCCATGAAGAGGGATAGAGAGATTATTTAATTTTTACAGATGCAAAATAAAATAAATGTCAGCAATGTTCCTATATTATGGAGTAAATGTCCATCATTGGGGGAGGAGGGAGTGCCCCCACCCCTCCACAGCGGGATTCAGAAGTTGCCTATTTGCAAGCCTTTTGTCCTTTAGAAATCTGTTTCTTCCTTTGTAAAACACAAAGGGGCAGGGGTGAATTTACAGGCTCTGGCCTGCAGAGGCTAGCTCTGAGAGTGTCTGTGAGAACCAAGGAAAAGTACAGGGAAGTGCTGTGAAAAGGCAACCAATTATTACGGAAAGTTCAAACATTGCTACGCAGCTCAGGGCATGGAGCAGACATTCAGTAGTTGTGGATTCATTTAAGAGTTCTTACTTTCTATCTTCCAGGGCTCTCAATTGTGAATTGGCTTCCTCACCTGGGGCCATGTTTAGAAGCAAACAATCACTTTGGGCAAAAACCTGACCTAGAGTCTTGAGGCAAAAGAATGGTCCCTTCGAACAAACGCTGCACTTACGTATGCCTTCCCATGCATTTGGGCAGCTTCTGTCAACCAAATGGTTCTAATTCCAACACATATGTGCTTCATGAAATGCCCTGTGGGCTCTAGTGAACACTTGATGGGAGTCTCCTCTATCTGCGTTGAAGAGATTCATCTGCCTGTGGCCAGGAAGAATGAACGGATATTCCCATGCCCTGAACCTTCTGCTTGGTTGTGGGGAGGAAGGGGGGATGTTGGCTGTAAACAGAAACTGGCTTGCTGATTGATGCTCATATGTGGGGCTGTGCTATCCTGAGGAGCCACTGGGCTGGAACCACAGAATCAGACTGACACGAGCTTCCTTATTTTCAGGGTTCCACCAGTCCTTATATTTAGAATCACAGAAGTTTAGAGCTGGAAGAGATCTCACAAATGATCACAAAACCCTTTATGAAAAGTCCAGAGTCAAGTCCAGTTAGCAAGGAGACAAAACTAAGTAACTGCATACATGGAGCTAAAAGCTAGATCTCCCACCTAGGATTCGGGCCACTGCAGTACACTAGGTAACATTGCTCTTCCTAAATATGGTGTTTGGTGGCTTCTATATTCTCCTTCAATACGAGAGAGAGAAAGAAAGAGAGAGAGAGAGAGAGACTGAGTTGGCATCCTCTTTTTTTCTTTCCTTCCCAGCAAAAAAAAAAAAATTCTTAATCTTTATTTCTAGAGTTCAAATTTTCCATTGGCACCCCAAAAATTTCATTCAAAATCCTTTGATACCTTCTAAATATCTGTCATTATGGTGCTTGCTGCATTCACGACTCAAAATCCATTCCCCTCCTCCATCCCTATCTTTTGTGTGGATGAGAAAATGCCTGAGCGCGGGCACCTGCTCTGTGACGCTCTCCTCCACGTGGTACGGGCAGCCTGGACACAGACGTGGGGGAACTCAGGCCGCTCTGCAGACATCACCTGGGCCTGTGGGTTTGCAGTCTGATGGGGGCTGCAACTCTGGTCACTTATTCATGGAAACAGATTTACATGGCAAATGATTAATAAATGCAGGTGCCTGGTTTATTGTGAGGGTTTTTTTTCCCCCTAATAGAGAATGTCTGTGTGTTTACTATTTGTCATACAAACTCAGCCCCAAGAGATTCATGTTTCTGGGTGTTGGCCACTTCTGCTTTATACTAAGGTGCAGCTTCCATTACTACATACATTTTAGGGGTTCTGTTCTTTGGTAAACAATTATGTGCTCTAGGAATAGTTTGTGAAAAGGTCTAGGAACCAACACTCTTACTCCAGTGTAGCAGTCGTAGGGGATTTAAGCTCCTGGAGCTTCAGAAGTGTTATTGTTTTCATTTTTCCATGGCCCTTAAAGGAAAATAGTCAACTGAATATTGCAGTCAAGTGTCAGATGCTTCAGTGTTATAAACCCAAACTGGGAAGTTGCTTCTTCATTTGTTAAACAAGGGTGAGAGAATTTGGTTATGCCTCTTCCCCCTGACAAAGCAGCCACCAATGGGGAAGGTTTTCTTCTCCACACCTGTTGTGTCTAAAAGCACTAGGACCTGGAGACCAGCCACAAATGACAAAAAAATATGAATGCTAGATGAATGTCTTCTGTCTGACCCACTTTGTTCCGAAATACAGTATTCAATTCATTTGCTGAGCTCCTAAATACGCCAGGTACTGTGAGAGGTGCTGGGGCTATGGAATGTGTAAGGTAAACAGGAAAAAAAAATCTATTACAAAGTGATACCTCCTATGGTTAAGAAAGTATAAAGAGCAAAAGCCACACATGTGACAGATGTGTTACTGCTCTGGAGAGGAACAGAGAATGCTCCAGAAAGACAGAGGCTTTTGAATGTGAGCTAGTCACAGGGGTGGGTAGGGGAAGGGATTTTCCAAGAAAGGGCAAAGGCCAGGAAGCAGAAGGCAACGGGTCACAGTGGAAAGTCCAACGTTCTTCAAAGGCAATTGTGATGTGGGATCAGGTGATGACAAAACAGGCTAGACAGACAATGAATCTGGAAGGGCCTCGAATGCCAGGCGGCTTTGGGGAGGTTGGCCATGGGAGCAGAGAGATGCCAGAGGAGGTCCTGACACTACCCCAGGTTCCAGCTACAGTTGCACAGGGAGGGCAAAGGGAAGCAGACGAGAGAAGGCCATGTAGAGGGAGGTGATGAACTAGACAGGTGTGATGAGGGAGAGAGAGGGGCTGAGAGCAGGAGGGCCTCTCTAAGAGCTCTGGATGCAGAGCTATAGGGGTGCTGATTAGGCTCCTCCAGACAATGGGAAATTTCTTGGCCCCAAGATTATAGTCTCAACTCATGCTGCTTATAGGGCTGGGCTCCCCTCCCCTCACCCACCCCTGCAGATCTCTCCCGGTCTACTGGCCCTGCACACAACCCGGTGAATGACTGTCCCGGATGTTCCTGCACCCCGTGTGCAGGGAGGCATGCAAGGGCCCTTACCACAAACCCCGGTCCCTTGAACTCACCGTGAGTAGGTTGATCAGATCCATGTTGGGTTCTAAGTGGTGGGAGGCATTCTGCAGGGACACCAGTTCGCTCAGGGTCACAGAGAGCTGGTGCATTTTTACAATGTTCACTTTGTTGTCCTCCGTCCAGTCTGGGAAAATGACATGGACCGCTATCAAGTCTTTCAAGTGCACGCCGAGGATGGGGATCTTGAAGCCCTCACAGTCGGCAAAGGCCCTGCGGTAGCAGCAGTAATTACCGTTGGAGGAGACCAGCTCTGTCATCTCATGCCAGTTCTGGGAACAGATGGAAAAGCAGAGGTTTCAGTGTTCCCTTCCACCCACCCCCCAGGCCCTGCCGTGTGGGGCTAGGACATTCCTCAGCTACTGAGAGAAGTATCGATCGCACCACCACTGATGCAGGGAAATATTAACCTGGAAAAAGAAAATTAGAAAAATGTACTGGGCCTGGCTACGAGTGGGGCAGCCTGCTCTATTCTCCTGCAGAGCAGAAACCGCCTGCACCTCTTCCTGCCTGCTAGCGCTCCCGGGGTGTAAAATAGCTTCAAAGAGCTATAAGTATTTTGCAATTCATGGAAATATTACAGTCCACAAATATAAGCATGTATCTATTAAAATATAGTATGAGGTATATTATAGTGTCCTAGTTTTTTTTTTCACTTAAAAATTTTTTTTATTTTGCCTTTATTTTTTTAAATGTTATTATGTTATGTTAATCACCATACATTACATCATTAGTGTTTGATGTAGTGTTCCATGATTCATTGTTTGCATGTAACACCCAGTGCTCCACGCAGAATGTGCCCTCTTTAATACCCATCACCAGCCTAACCCATACCCCACCCCCCCAGAACCCTGTTTCTCCATAGTCTCTCCTAACCCATCCCCCACCCCAACCCTGTTTCTCCATAGTCTCTCCTAACCCATACCCCACCCGCCCAGAACCCT